AAGGGAGGATAAGGCAAATTTTATAATGACACAACCAAAAGTCTCCGTCCTCCTCCCCCGCAATAGATAATGAGTGGTTCCTAATTAGTTTTTACTAATAATTATAATAATGATACGATAATGATATTATTATGATAAAAATAAAAATAATAATAATAATTAAACATTTATATGGCGCTAAAACTATGCATATATCCAAAAACAATTACATTAAACTGGGCATTATAAACGAGTACTGAACACTCTCCTGAAAAGAAATATTTTGAGTCGATTCTTAAAAGTAGCAAGATTGCTACAAAATCTGATTGGTAACGGCAACGAGTTCCGTAAGACTGGAGTAGCATGAACAAAAGCGGGGCCACTGAGCTATAAAAAAAATGTTTAAAGGCAGTTTTTGCCTTAATCTTAACTTAATCTTCTAGGCAGACCACAAAAGCAACGCATAAAAAGTCTTAACTTATAGCGTAAATTACCCTACGCGTAAGTCACATAATAATTCGCATAATGTTATCACTGAATTAAAAAAAAGAAAAAGAAATTAAAATATAATCTTATATTTCAGCATAAGAGTCCCCTTTGACTTTCATAGAAACACGTCTGCAACAGCCAGCTATTCCTTGAAATGTGAAAACACAGCCATCCTGTAACAGAAAAGGGGAAACGGAAAGTAAAAAGTGACGAATCAGTCTTCACGGGTCAACAACACTTAAGATCAGCGTAGAGAAAAATTAGGTTTTAGTCCAACTGCTCTGCTCTTTTTAGAGGGCTACCAGTGATTTAAATAAAGAGGCTATAACATTTCCGATACAAATGGCTGCAATTTCGTTATGAAGGTCGAACCCCTCTTGATAGAAAACATATGTTTAAATGACCCAAACGAAACAAAGAACAACAACAAAAGGAAACACTTTAACGATTTCACTTATCGTAACATAGACTCTAGACTCACCTTAACCAAAAATGGGACATCGCCCCAGAAAGAATGATTAGGGATCATTTCAGGAAAGCTGCTGACACCCTTATGAATTTTATTATATAACAACCCCGCGATGAAATAGGTCAGTACCAATGGAAAGAACCTACGAGAGAAACAGCAAACATCATTACTTATAGAGATCCCCCAAACTAAATATTCTTAAAGCCGGCATTGAATTATTTTGACACAGAATCCCTTTGAACAGAAAGGTCAGAATTCATGGAACATTTTTCCAAAACTGCTAACGATGCCATTTTGAAACACCGTCCACCCCAGGGAGACAAGGTTGTTTAACAAAGAGATTCCGTGTTTCCGTATGTCTGTCTAGTAATAGACCGACGTCAAAATATGGTAATAACAAAAATGTGGCACACGAGGCCCAGCCAAATGTGTTACTGAAGTTCTTACAACATTTTGGCTTCTTCCTTGATCTATTACATGAAATGTAAACATCCATAGCAACATGGTACCTAAATTCAATAACGTTGTTTATGATGACGTCATCAATACCTTCAGTTGTTACACTTCCCCAAAGACGCAGCACCACATTTTAGTTAGAGAATTAACCCCTTTATTCAT